TGTTTTCACTCAACTTTTGAATGTATACAGTACCAACGTATTTGTGAAATAAGGCTGGAGAATTATTTCTGAATCTACAATTACATCTTCGAGCATGGCCACTGATGGCCTCAGTTCTTCAACCAGGTTTGTATATTTTCACCATGATCTTCCAACCCAAGTCATTTGTATAAACAGTTAACTGTTGATACAAAGAGGACAAAGAAGCACCTTCCTGCTTAAAACCTGTGCATGTTTTACAGCCACGAGAGAAACACATACAAATATGTGGCTGCTCAATAAGGCTTTTGAAATAAAGATACAGATCTTTCGCTTGGAGGAATATAAGAAAATACTGTAAGGTTACAGAGGACAGGAATTTGCATCCAAAGTTGTACAAGACGCAAGGGTGAGCTGGGTGAAAGGAAGTATGAGAAATATCCACTATGCTTGTGAAGATCTTTTCTACTGAATAAGGAGGAAATTGGTTCTGCTTAAATATTTAAACGAACAGTTCTACAACTGTATTAAACATCAGTCTAGGAGAAAACAGAGGTACCAGAACTCAGAAGGGAGCCAAAATAAAGGTCTAGTTAAATTCACACTAAGTTTTAAGAGTTCACCAACAGTCATACAATGCGACATAGCATACAAAAGTATTGAGTCTTGTTCCAGACAAAAGAAGATGGAGCCCAGCCAAGGTTGAATGCTGCAGCTGCTGCTATAGTTTGCCAGTCAGGTGGCAGGAAGGACATAGAAGTAGTGAGAGAACTCTCTGAGATCAAAAAGCCAGGGATAATATGAAAAGAACATGGGAAAAATGGGAGCCAAGATGTGAAAACAAGATAAATCAGAATAGTAGATGTCAGCAATCTGATATTCTGAGATAATAGATCATCAATAGCAAAGGTTTATAACTGCTGAATACCCATAATTTGACGGAAACTTGGTAATTTATGGAGAACTAGCACTTCTGTTCTCCCAATTTGTTCTGATTTAGCGGCATTCTTAGCTTTGACAAGAACACGATGAGACTCTGGTGGACTTGGAAGAACTCCATATTCTTCAACTGTGGGTCAGAGACAGGCCAGCAGACAATTCATTCAGCTCTTCCAAGAAATCACGATGTTTCCTGAGATGTATGTATGTTTGTATGTATGTATGTATGTATCAGAAAGCATATTTTTCAACAAAACAGAATTTTAACTGCATTAATTAAAGAATAACAGAGGTTTGGTGAAATGAAAAGGAACTTGTATTATTGCAGGCAAAATATTCTTTATAAGAGATCATAGATGTCTGCAGGGTATAGCCAAAAAGAAAAGAAAAGAAAGAAAGCTTTGATAGAAATCCTATGATGTATATTTATTTACATGTATGTCATCAAGTGTTTTTTTCTCCCATGGCTACTACTTGGTTGGCTGTATATGAATTCTATTATCCTTCATTTTTAGCCACTGCAGTGTTATCTCTTTGTTAATAAAGGATTGAGTAAATAGGGTGGAGCTATTATTTATTTATTTTATTTTATTTATTTGATTTGCCAATTGTTTACAAGATAATAAGTATAAGTGTATACATAGTTGTGAATACATGAAATGGGTACATATAAGAAAAATAAAAGAATAAGAGAAACAATAGGACAGGGACGGTAGGCACGATGGTGCGCTTATGCACGCCCCCTATTACCTTGTGTTTGACTGGGCCATGACTTCCCTGTGTCTCCGTGTGTTCCTCACCACCAAACCCTGTGAGGTTGAGGAGCAAACTAATCCATGAAACTCAGGGCTCTGGATTAAAACCATCCCAGCCTTAACTTTCCGGATTGGATTCCAATGCTCTACAATATACCAGCCCTGCCCAGGACAGAATCTAACTTAACATCAGGGGTGGGATTAAAATTTTTTTAACGGTTCTGTGGGCATGGTTTAGTTGGTGGGTGTGGCTTGGTGGTCATTGTCTGGCTGGGTGTGGCCAGCTCAACATCACTCACATTGAGGCATGCATCTCCTCACCTGGCGTCTCATGACTGTGGGGATACTGCAACAGTCGTAAATGTGAAAAACGGTCATAAGTTACTTTTTTCAGTGCCATTGTAACTTTGAATGGTCACTCCACACAAGCAAAGTACCAGCAAAGGAGGGAAAAAAACTCCAGTGAAGTTCCAGAGACAGGAAGTCTAGTCCTGCCAAGAATGTAATAAGGGTTAACGGAGAGGCAGTTTCTGTAAGCAACACCAGAATGTTTCCTTCCTGCCTTCCTTACAGGATTAGGCCAGTAATTTCTTCTAACAACCAGTTCTCTGAACCTCTTAGAATGTTAACAACCAGTTCTACCTGTAGAATCCCACCCCTGCTTAACATTCTCTTTATAATCAATTCAAGTGATTTTTTTAAAAAATTACTTAATTCCTATTGAACTGGATGGGAACACTTGTTTAACTTCTATGTTTCCTTCAGAATTTCTCCAGCACTTACCCCGAGGGAAACCTTTCCCATTTCCAAATATACAAAATTTGGTCGATTTTCTAGTGACCTGAAGCAAGAAGAAGGCAAAACCAACTAGGAACATGTTGCTCTTTGTGACTTGGTTTTTTAAAATTTATTGCCCAATGATAGATACTAACAGAGGATGAATTCACTTCCAGATGACTCAACAAATTCTGGGCAGCAAGACAATTGGAGGAAGCAATAATTCTCAGGGAATTAAATGTTTTCTTCCAAGGGTAAATCAAACACAGATCCCTCCTCATTTAGTACTATGTGAGAATGAAGAGTTTTGACACCCCAATGAGATATGACTTCACAACTTACAGCATTTACTGTGAGTGTGTAAGGGTAGTGACAGTGCCACTACTCGGAGGAATTTGTATCAATCATTTCTTTATCCCCCATTTTGCATTCAGCGAGAGCCTCTGGCCCAGCCATCATAAATTTCAAGCAGCGCGTTGGAAACTGCAAGCAATATGGTCGGCAAAGGAGAAATACATTAAATGTTAGCTGCCCCATCTGAAAAACTGCTGGCAGATTGCCCAAAAACAAACTAGGTAAAATGCACCACAGTTTTCATTTAAGCCGTGGAGAGAACACGCCCACCTCTGACTGCAGGTACAGGATTTTCTGCATGAAGGTTTTCCAAATAGCTCGGAAAAGTCACTTACTACCCTGTAAAATCCTGTTAAGGAACCATCACTAGGCTTGACAAGTTAATGAGACGAAGATTATGAGAGCGTTATTATTTTAGCAGAATATTGTGTTTCAGTCATACCCT